ATATTATATATGTACATATTATTTATATTTTTAATTTGTATTAATATACCGTTTAACATGTAAATTTTTTATGTATTTTTTTACAAAATAAAAATAAAAATAATTTTAAATAAGATAGAAAAATTGAAATTTAAAATAAGATATGAATTTATTAAAATTTATAAGTATAAAATATATTTAATATGAATATTTTTTAATAAAAATAAATAAAAATCGAGTCATGCGGTTCAACTAATGACTCACCGGTTCAATCTTTGACCCACTGACCCAGTACCTTAACCGGTTTGATGGCTGGTGCAATTTTTAAACTATGCTAGTGAGGAAAACCCTCACTTTAAAATTTGATTTGATGGAATTGTGTTAAGTTTAAATCTCATCTTTTAGATGATATTATATCATTTAAAAAAAAAAAAAAAAAAGGTTACTTATCATCATATTCAAGCACAAAATTCAATAGTGCTTGGAGTGCATGTTGAATGAAGAATTTATAAATGGGGACAATCTTCACATTAATAGTTGATTTTATATAGTTAAATTAGAGTCAAATTCATATTTATTAAAAAACAAAAACAAGGCAAAAGTACCTACATAACAGCTAAATTTTGTTCGATAGGTTATGGAACGAACTCTTCGAATCTAACATGTTGATGCCTGTTGAACTAACAACTCAAACTGGCAGTTTTGTCCTGAACTATTTTTTTTTTCCCCTTTCTGTTCAATGATGCAACTACACTATATGTTCCTTGGTTTTCATTTTAAATCCTTGAACCTAAAGTTTAGTGTAAAGATGGATTAATATACTTATTTTTTGTATTTTTTTGTATGGATGGCAAGAGCAACACCAGGCCAAAGCTCGTGATACGACAACTGACAACTGACAACTGAGAAATATATACACGACTGTGTGGTTTACTGCTGAGAAAGATATTCAAGGATCTGATATTGCAATGTTTACGTACAAGTTTCCCATCATTCTTGGAATGGATGCAAGCAATGCCTCGTTGTGGGGTTATCGAAAATATATACATTTACTGTTTTATTTAAGAAGTTTACCTAATGTTTATGAGTTATTTTATGTCTTGTGTTTGTGTGGCAAAATAATATAGTTTTTCCCCAAATTTTTATGTACTCTTTTTTATTTCCAGCGGCAATCAATTTTACTAAGATGTTTTTTCGCTTTATGGAGACAATCAAAATTTCTTAGGTCTCAAGTAAATATGCTTCTCTGTTTTGACAAATCATTTGGTAATAAGGAAACAAATTCAGCGTAGTCGACATTTACATTCTCGTAATATTTGCTTGTAAATGCATGTATCTTTTCAATGTATTGCTGTTAAATGTCCAAATTAAAAATCATGAAAGAAAGTTACAACAGACATGTTTGTGAGGAAAGGAAAATAAATCCAAACAGGAGACTATAAACACAGGAACCCTTTTATTTAAAGTAGATCTCTTTTGATAAAACATGATTTGTTTTCTTATTAATATGGATACAATTCGCTATGATAATTATATGGATATAATTAACTTCTAATGTATATGTGTATGAAGTTGCATAAATACATGTATGGGATGAGATTTAAAAATAAAATAAAATTAAGGATACATGTATGCTAATGTAATTCTTAAAAATTGTACATATATTAAAAAATTATATATGAACATGATTAATTTATATATGATAAAAACACAAATAAAAAGATAAATTCTTCAAGATGATTAAAATATTTGTAAAAGAAAAACTATATCATGTAAATGTTCATCAATTAATATTATAACTCCTAATACAGTTTAACTGATCAATCAATATTATGAAAGTTGAAAAGATTATCTTTAAATTTAGTTCATCAAGAAAAAAAGTAATAATTTTAAAAAAGTCAATCCATTTGAAGAAAATTCATTTATCTTCAAATGATCTAGTGTAGAATGAGTTATACTTTATTCAAAATGACAAATTTAGATGTTCAAGAACAAAGAGTATGATAGATGATAGTATTACACTAATGTAACAAAGATATTTTACATAGATTATTTTGAATATTCTATATTGGTCTTGAACCCATCATAACTCTGATGGCATAACATTCAATGATGAGTTAATACTTGTTATAAAAAGTGAGTAGTTAACACTTGGATAACATTTGTCACCCACTTTATATGTGGGATATATAATATGAAAACATTATCAGGAAAGAAAGAAGTAACTTAGTAACATAAACAATGTTATATAATATGAAAATGTAGAACTATATGAAATAATGGCCAAACAGCTTCATTTGAACAATTTAAGGTGAGAATATCGACTCTCTAACTAACTTTAGTGACAATGTCACAAATTATGTCGGAATAGAAAACATTTAAATTATTATTGAACTGATGAATGTGGATAATTATTTTATTTTATTTTACATTGATCGACTCAAATCTCCATGTACCAAAAAATCTCTGCTACTAAATACTTTTAGTTGATAAATATAGAAAGAAAGTTAGATGTGTCAATATATAACCCCAAATGTATTATATATATATATATATATGTGTAATCCATCAAATGCCTTCTATTATGCACCATTAATATTATATTAGTGAATATATTGTGTGACAAACAAGAGTTATCTCTCAAATATAGCAAACTCCTTGATTTTGGGAAATCACATAAAGTCAATACATTATTACCACCAATCACAATCACCCTAAAAATACACATCCATTCATCTTCCCTAGTTTCATTTCGCAAAACATGCTTAACCATTCACAACTTTCTCCAAATAGTTTATGCGGTTCAACGTTCACCACATGGGATTTTGAACACAAATCCAAATTAACCATGAGTTCCACCATGCAAGAGACATATATAAACCCCCTTAACTCTCCCATTTTCTTTAGGCTTGGTTTCGGACACAACAAAATAAGAATAAATTAGTGAAGGTAAATAAACCTTAGAAGAGAGGAAGCTGAAAAAAAAAGAAAAAAGAATAAAAAAAAATGGGTTTCCGAAGCTCTTCTCTTCTCTGCATGGCTATTTTGCTTGCATGCTCTTCCGCTATTTACGCCTTTGACATCACAAAAACTCTCAGCAAATATCCAAAATTTGAGTCACTCAACAAATACCTCACCGAAACCAAGCTTGCAGAACAAATGAACAGCCGCAACACCATCACTCTCCTCGCCGTTGATAACGGCGGTTTCTCTGCCATCGCTAACAAGTCCCCAGAAACCATTAAGGCCATCATCAGCACCCATGTCATCCTTGACTACTATGATCCCAAGAAGCTCGTCGAAGCCATTGGCAACAAGGAACAACTAACCACCCTCTACCAATCCTCAGGCAAAGCCGTCAACAATCAAGGCTTCCTCACCGTTTCCATGGTCGGTGAAGGCGAGATCGCCTTCGGCTCCGCCGTCAAAGGCGCCCCCGCCGATGATGCCGAGTTTGTCGAGCCCATCACCTCTGAGCCCTACAACATCTCCATTATCCATGTCACCAAGTTCATCATACCCCCGGGCATTGACTCTCAAGCTAAGGCACCAGCTCCGTCGGGACAGACTGCCAAAGCTCCTGTGTCGACTAAGGCTGCCAAGGCCCCAGCTCCGACACAGGCTGCTAAGGACTCTGCCCCGACACCAAGTGCCAAGGCACCAATTCCATCGGAGACTGCAGCTACACCTACAGCTGAGTCTCCGGTGGACGCTGCTGATGCCTCAGCAACAAGCCCATCAGCTGAGGGACCAGGTCCCGCAGCTGATGATGGAGCTGCAGATGCTGCTTCTGCTAGCAGCCCTTCTACCACTAAAATGGGTGTCGTTGGGGTAGTGATGGCTTTCGCTTCCCTCTTCATTGTCTTGTAAAGTGCTTCTTGATGATATACTCATACACATATGATGATTGGCTTGAAGAAAGAAACTCAAGAGTATTGGAAGAGATACACAAGAGTTTGTTGTTATTGAAAATTTGTCAATGACATTAAACTCGTGATTTAGTGGTTGCGAAATAAATAAATGAAAAAAAAAAACTAATATTTGAATTAATGTCCTATTTGGGTATTTTATCTTTTTTTGCCCTTTCCTTTTGATTTTTTTAAGGGTCCTATATATTGACATCTCACATGGTAAATTTGGACCTAGCTTCCCCTTTCCTACATTCTTGTAAGACTAGGGATTCAAATAGTCCATTCCCAAATTGTCTCCTCAATAAAAATTGATATGTAATTTAAAATACTCATTTTTATTGTATTTTTCTGTTTTCATACATCGTCTTCAATCAAAATCATTTGGAGTGATATGTAATTTTATTATTGGCAGAATGTGAATAGGGACACAAAGAATTAGTGATTTGGATCCTTCATATATCCAAATTACATGTCCGCTAATTGTATCATTCTTCTGGTCTCATCAATAAATAAAGTTACATGTCATTTAAAATAATTTATATTTAAGGTGAATGTAAAAGAACCGAAAAATATAAGTAAATATATCAAACGACAAGGATGAAAACATATTTGTTTTATAAATGCAATGTCTTTTCTCTTTCTTTTGATTGCTTTTCACGAAATGTAATGAAATGACTCACCATAACCTTCATACACTACAAATCCGGCTAAATGACCATTGTGGGGCAGTTTAAGAAACTTATTACCAAAATGGGGTTGTTTTGAAACATTTTACACCTTTGGGGTGCTTTTATTGGGTGTTGCTAGGGGCCATAGCAACACCCATGACACGTGGCATTTTTGGGTCTAAATATGAGCCATGAACGCCATATTGGTAGAGTCGCTGTAGCTGGTGGAGACCTTCAAAGAGTCGCTATAGCCTATAGCGCCTCAAATCAGCTAAAAAGGAAAAAAAAAAATTTATTTGGGGCGCTATGGCCCATAGCTCCACTCAGGCGCTATGGGCCACAGCGCCTGTGTTAAAAATATATCTAATATTTTTAAAATATATCTTATATTTTTAAAATTTAAATTTTTTTTACAAATTTATAAAAAAATAACAGGTAAAAGGGAAAAAAATTGAAATAAAAAAAATGTTAATTTTAAAAAATAAGTAATAAAATGTAAAAAATAATTAAAAAACGAAAAAAAAAATTTATTTGGGGCGCTATGGCCCATAGCTCCACTCAGGCGCTATGGACCACAGCGCCTGTGTTAAAAATATATCTAATATTTTTAAATATAGAATTTGAAAAATAAATTATACAAAAATTTCTGATAAAAGGCAAAACAATAATTGAAAATTTAAAAAAATAAATTTTAAAATTGAATTAATATAATGTGAGAAAAAATTAAAAACGAAAAAAAAAAAAAAGGTTAGGGCGCCAGGGCTCGTAGCGCCACTGAGGCGCTAGGGCCCGTAGCGCCTGTTGTGAAAATAAGTTTGAAGACATATTTATGATACTTGTTGAGAGTTATCTGCAAAAGCAAAATGGTGCACACAAAACTCATAATATTTATGTCGCCCTCTCGCGCGCATATAATTAATTAGTTTTTATTTTCTTTTTAACATTTTATACTGATAAGAGACTTTGTAAAAAAAAAAAAAAAAACTAATAAGAAAGCAACAGTATCTAACACAGATCGTGTAAACCAAGTTATAAAATACATATTTTATTTATTTTAAAATTACGTTTTTTTTAAACTTAATTTTCTTTTTATAATTATATAATAAATATTTACGTTATTATACTTATTTTACATTATTATTATTTTAAAAAAATAATATATATAGCTAAATGTAAAAAATAATTTATAAAAACCAAAAAGAAAAATAATTTAATTGGGGCGTTGTGGCCCATAGCTACACTCAGGCGCTATGGGCCACAGCGCCTGTGTTAAAAAAATAAAAAAAATTACATTTTATTTATTTTAAAATTACGTTTTTTTAAACCATAATTTTCTTTTTATAATTATATATTAAATAGTTCTTTTTATTATACTTATTTTACATTATTATTATTATATATATATTTTTTTAACCCAGTGTCGCTATGGGCTACGTAAGTTTTTTAAGCCCATCAGTTATGGTGGACTAGCCTATAGCGACACAGGTCCAGCCCACCCAAGCCAACAAAAAAAAAAGCCACGTGTCATGGGTGTCGCTATGGCCCATAGCGACACTCAATAAAAGAGCCCCAAAGGTGTAAAATGTTTTAAAACAGTCCCATTTTGGTAATAAATTTATAAAACTGCCCCACAATGGTCGTTTAGCCCTACAAATCCTCCAAGAAACTCTTATATATAGTAGAAGAAAAAAAAAGGAAAACTTATAATAGCTATAGCCTTTGCTTGAAAGTTTTTAAGAAAAAGATTGAGGAGATATAGGAGGGTTAATTGTTTTCGTCACAGCTCCAAAACGTTTCCCTTCGTACCATACATTTAAGAAATAAGAAAAATGGTTTTAGTTAAGATAAAGAAATGTTATTTAATAGGAAAAGTCCTCCACAAATTGATACAAAACCACATATATATTTTATTGGATAAAAGTTAAATAAAAGTTGTAATTTTTTTTTTAATTTGATTAAAATTGTACGCACATTTATTGTATGATTTTTGTACTTATAGGGAAATAAGCACAATGATCTTCAAGGTATATTTGATCTAGTAGGTACTAAGTGCAAGTAGAAATATCTGTAAAGACACTCTGACGCTTAAGTTAAAGGTATTTAAATGATGCAGGTAATGATTGTATCATATATGTAAAAAAGTTCACAATGATTGTTTGAAGATTCAATATATATATATATATATATATTATTTTATCTTGAA